ACTTCCGTAGTGATACTGCCTCGGAAACCCAAGGAGGGGTCTCTATAAGTTGAGTCCGACTCAATGGCACATAACACCAACACCAACAACAAAGATACTACTTAACAAAGTAGGATGTAAAATGTTATTTTTGTAGACTATTTTATGCCAGTTGACCTAGACAGATGACATATTGCATTGGGAAAATCTGCTGCAAAAGACCTCTCTAAGGTGTTTAAGAGCAAAGATACCATTCTGAAGACTAGTGTGCTTGACCCAAGCCATGGTATTTTCAATACCCTCATATGCATGTGAGAAGTGGACAATGAATAAGGAAGACTGAAGAAGAATTGATGCATTTGAATTGTGGTGCTGGTGAAGAATACTAAATGTACCATGCACTGCTAGAAGAACAAACAAATCTGTATGGAAGGAAATACAGCCAGATTGCTCCTTAGAAGCAAGAATGGCAAGACTTTATCTCTCATATTTGGTCATGTTATCAGATGGGACCGGTCTTGGAGAAAGATATCATGCTGGATAAAATACAGGCTCAGCAAAAAAGGTGAAGACCCTAAATAAGATGAATTGACACAGTGGCTGCCATGATGGGCTCAAGTATGGCAATGATTGTGAGGATGGTGCAGGACTGGACATTGTTTCATTCTGTTGTACATGGGGCCCCTATGAGTCAAAAATGGACTCAATGGCACTTAGGCACCTAACATCAAGTCTTCCAATCCATAAGCACAGGACGTCTTTCCATTTTGGGGTCTCTTATAGTAATGTGTGTTTAATAATGTAGATGGACTAAAGCTTTCAGGACCCCCATTTGCTATGGGGCACAACTTAAAAAGGGAAGAACAACTGAAAACATCTATTAATAATTATATGGAATGTGGAATGTACAAAGTATCAATCTAAGGAAGTTGGAAGTTGTCAAAAATGAAATGGATGCATAAATCAATATTGTAGGCATTAGTAAGCTGAAATGGACTGGCACTGGCCATGTTGAATCAGACTATGTGAGGAATGACAAATTGAAGAGGAATGGCATCATATTCATGTCAAAAATGATTCAAGATCTACCCTAAAGTGCAATGCTGTCAGTCATAGGATAATATCCATACTCCTATAGACAAGACCCGTTAATGCTACAAATATTTAAATTTGCACACCAACCACTCAAACCAAGATGAAGAAACTGAAGATTTAAAAATCTTACTTTAGATTTAAAAACCAACTTCTGCAGTCTAAAATTGACCAAATATGCAATCAAGATGTATTATTACTGGTTATTGGAATGTGAAAGTTGGAAACAAAGAAGAATCATCTGTAGCTGGAAAATATGGCCTTGGTGATAGATACAACACCAGAGATTGCATAATAGGATTTTGCAAGGTCAAAAGTTATTCATTGCAAATACCTTTTTTCAACAACATAAATGGCAGCTATACACATGGACCTCACCAGAAGGAATACACAGGAATCAGATTGACTACATCTGTGGAAAGAGGTGATGGAAAAGCTCAATATTTTCAGCCAAAACAAGGCCAGGAGCTGACGGTGGAAAAGACCATCAATTGCTCATATGCAAGTTCAAGTTTAAACTGAAGAAAATTAAAACCAGTCCATGAAAGCCAAAATATGAGCTTGATTATATCTCTCCTGAACTTAAAGACCATCTGAAGAATAGATTGACCCAATGACTGAATGCCATGTGAGTTGTGGGATGACATCAAGAACATCATATATAAAGAAAGCAAACAGTCATTTAAAAGATAGAAAAGGAAGAAAAGACCAAAATGGATGTCAGAAAAGAGACTCTGAAACTTGCCCTTGAATGGAGAGTAGCTGAAGCAAATGGAAGAAATGATGAGATAGAAAAGCTAAACAGAAGATTTCAAAGGGCAGCTCAAGAAGACAAAGTATTATAATGAAATGTGCAAAGACCTGAAGTTAGAAAACCAAAAAAGAACAAGCTTGGCATTTTTCAAGCTGAAAGAACTGAAGAAAAAAATTCAAGCCTCAAATTGCAATACTGAAGGATTCTATGGGTAAAATATTGAATGATGCAGGAAGCATCAAAAGAAGATGGAAAGAATACAGAGTAACTGTACCAAAAAAAATTGGCTGATGTTCAATTATTTCAACTATTTCAGGAGGTAGCATATGATCAAGAACCAATGGTACTGAAGGAAGAAGTTCAAGCAGCACTGAAAGAACTGGCAAAAAACAAGGCTCCAGGAATTGATGAAATACCCATTGAGATGTTTCAACAAACGGATGCAGCGCTGGAGGTGCTTATTCATTTATGCCAAGAAATTTGTAAGACCGCTACCTAGCCAACTGACTGGAAGAGATAGATATTTGTGCCCATTCCAAAGAAAGGTGATCCAACAGAATGTGGAAATTATCAAACAATATCATTAATATCACACACAAGTAAAATTTTACTGAAGATAATTAAAAAATAGTTGCAGCAGGATGTTGACAGGGAACTTTCAGAAATTTAAGCTGGATTTAGAATAGTACATGGAACAACAGATATCAGTGCTGATGTCAGATGGAACTTGGCTGAAAGCAGAGAATACCATAAAGAGGTTTACTTGTGTTTTATTGACTATGCAAAGGCATTTGACTGTGTTGATCATAATAAATTATGGATAATATTGCAAAGAATGGAAATTCCAGAACACTGAATTGTGCTCATGAGAAAATTTTACATAGACCAAGAGGCTGTTATTCAAACAGAACGAGGTGATACTGCATGCTTAAAAATCAGGAAGAACGTGTGTCAGGGTCATATCCCTTCTCCATACTTATTCAATCTGTATGCTGTGCAAATAATTTGAGAAGCTGGGCTATATGTAGAAGATTGTGGCATCAGAATTAGAGGACGACTCATTAACAAACTACAATATGCAGATGATACAACCTTGCTTGCTAAAAGTGAAGATGACTTGAAGCACCTACTGATGGAGATCAAAGACTACAGTCTTCAGTACTTCAACATAAAATCCTCACAACTGGACCAATAAGCAACATCACGATAACTGGAGTAAAGATTGAAGTTGTCAAGAATTTCATTTTACTAGGATCCACGGTCAACACCTGCAGAAGTAGCAGTCAAGAAATCAGAAGTTGCATTGCACTAGGCAAATGTGCTACAAAAGATCTTTAAAATGCTGAAGAACAAAGATGTCACTTTGAAGACTAAGGTAAGGTACACCTGACCCAATCAGGCAATTTCAATCGCCTTGTATGCATGTGAAAGCTGGACTTATAATAAGGAATAGGGAAAACCAAAGAAGAGTTGATTCTTTTGAGTTGTGGCGATGGTGAAGAATACTGGAAGTACTATGAACTGCCAGAAGAAAAGTCTGTCCTGGAAGAAGTGCAGCCAGAATGCTCCTTGGAAGTGAGAATGCCCAGACTTTGTTTCACCTACTTTGGTCATGTTGTCAGAAGGAACTATTCCCTGGAGAAGGATATCAATCTTGGTAAAGTAGTGAGTCAGCAGAAAAGGGGACAACCCTCAACAAGATAGACTGACACAGTGGCTGCAATGATGGCTCAAGTATAGCAAGGAATGTGAGGATGGCACAGGACTGGGCAGTGTTTCATTCTGTTGTATGTGGGGTCTCTATGAGTCAGAGGTGACTCAATGGTCCCTAACAGCAACAACATTAATTTCTAAAGACAAGTATTATCAGAATTGATCTGGAGAAAAACAAAAAAAAGGCTCAATTATATGCTGTCAAGAGATACACTTTCCATATAGAGACACAGGTAGGTTGAAAATAAATAGATAAAAAATGGTATTTCATGAAAAGTGTTAATGTAAAGAAGCTGGTGTGGCTATATTAAAATCAGATAAAGTAAACTTCACGACAATGAAGTAAGAGGAGGCAAAATTCATACAGATTAAAAAAAGGTCATTTCACTAGGAAGACATTGCAACATTAATGTGTGTGCACTTAAAGAAATTTGAAATTACATGAAACAGAAATGACAGAATTAAGAGGATAATTCCCTGATCATAGTTGGAGAATGATAGAAGAGTTAGCCAAAACAATGGAAATTACTAAAGACACAGATCTAAATAACAACATCAACCACTTTTACCTAGTTAGTATTTATATAATAACACACTAACAGAATACATAGCCACAGAATGCACAATGTTTTTAAGTGCACATGATACCTTCAATAAGTTGTTTTGGGCCATAAACCTAAAGAGACCTTTTAATCCCATGCACATTGTACCATCTACACACTGAATCCTGAGAAAAGGAGTTGAAAAACATCTTAGGGTTATCATAATTTATTATTGGCTTCGCATATGTCAGTGTTTTCTGAAGAGTAATTAACACGTTATTTTTAATTACAAAAACATAGCATATATGATATAGACCAAAAGGGTAAAATTTAAGTTATTAAAAACTGTTGCAAAGGAAAGCAAAGTTTCAGAAAAGAACCTAGTCTACAGGGCTTATAGTCTACACAAGCCATGGTCTCAACTACCCTGAGATCAGAAGAACTACATGAAAATGACCATTCTGATCAGGCCCTGATAAAACAGGAGAAAAGCACAGAACAGAATTCAAATTCTTAAAAATTTCAGACTTACTGGTCTTACTGAGACTACACAACTTCCTGAGACTGTCACCCTGAAATACCATTTAAACCTTGAACCAAAACTATCTCCTTAGGTCACCCTATAGTGAAATAACAGATTGGTAAACAAAATAAAAGACATTACCTGTTGAAAAACTATCTATATGAGACCAAATTACTTTAAAGTAAAGATGAGAAGGGGCTAGGGTATCTAGAGCACCGGAAATGGAACAACCAGAACTCAATTGAAGAGAATGTTGACACATTATGAGAAATATAACACTGAATAATTTGTGCAGAAATTGTCAAATGGGAACCTAATTTGCTGTGTAAACTTTCATTAAAAACACAAGAAAGTATTTTTTAAAAATTCTTATAAAATATTAAAATATTTTTTTCAGGTGCAAAAATATATACCACTTCATAATTGCCTGAAGACCACATTAAAGTGAAAATGAATGATATTTCCCAAAAGGCTGAGGTAAGTCTCAAAAATTGAAAAAAAAAAAAAATTAAGAAAAGGAAGAGCTCACTGTAGAACTTTTGAAAGGGCATCGTGTGTTGGAATGATTAACATTTAGAACTTCATACTTAATAAATAGGAACAATATGTAAAACATGAGAAATTCAGTCTGATCTTGGGCCCAGTATTTTCATTTTCACTGTAATCTAGGAAGTATGATTACTAAATTTATGAGTAATAGTAAGGTGGACGTGATGACCAGCATCTTGAGTACACACTTAAATGATCTTCATAAGTCATAGAAATTATTTTTAAGTTCCAGCTAGTTATTCACCAAAAACTTTGTAGTACTTAAGGAGGAAACAATCTTACTGTGTTTCATGGAATATAAATCAACCTGGAAAATATAAATTAGACTTTTTCTGTATTAAAAAAACAAGTGTGGCCTGTATTCACAGAAGAAATTGATAATTCACACTCATAAGGATGTTTCTTAGCTACTCATTGTGGCAGCTGCAATAAAATTTCTCTTAGCCTTTTTGTGGTCTTGGCCGTCATTATTAAGACTTACATTGAGAAAAGCTCAGGTGCTGAAGTGCCAAAGTTAAAAACAAAAAAATCTTTAAGTGGCCAATATGCATACCATATAAACAAACAAACAAAAAAAACCCACTGCCAATCCCACATTGACCCACTGCCAACCCACACTGACTTGTCAATTAGACAACCCACAAGTCACTCCTGACTCATAGTGACCCCCATTGGGTTTCTGAGGTGGTAAATCTTTACAGAAATAGGTTGCCCCATCTTCCTTCCGCAGAGTGGCTAGTGAGTTTGAACCACTAACCTTCTGGTTAACAATCAAAATGCTTAGGCACTGTGCCACCAGAGCTCCTTACACATCATAACTCAAAATGAAATTCACTGCCATTGAGTTGATTCTGACTCATAGCTATCCCCATTGGATTTCCAAGGCTGTAAATCTTTATGGGAGTAGATTGCCCCATCTTCCTTCTGCAGACTGGCTGGTGGTTTTAAACCACTGACCATCTGGTTAGCAGCCAAATGCCTTATCCACTATGCCACCAGGGCTCCTTATGCACCATATAAATAGTTAACTATTATGAGTCACTATGAAATACATATTGTTGTTGTTGTTATGTGTTGTCAAGTCGGACCCAACTCATAGCGACCCCTCCTTGGGTTTCCAAGGCAGTATCACTACAGAAGTAGACTGCCCAACCTTCCTTCTGAGGAGTGGCTGGTGGGTTTGAATTGCCAGACTTCTGGTTAGCAGTCAAGTGCCATAGGCACTATGCTACCAGAGGTCCTATAAAATACATAGTCACTCATAGTGACTCATAATAGTCAAAAGGTGGAAGTAACCTAAATGTTCAACAGATGAGTGGATAAACAAAACGTGGTACCTATACACACAATGGAATATTACTCAGTCATATAAATGGAGTTCTGATACATGGTATAACATGGATGAACCTTGAAAACATTATATTAAATGAAAAAACGTCAGTCATAAAAGGACAAATATTATATGATCCCACTTATATGAATATCTAGTACAGGCAAATTTATGGAGACCAACGTTTATTAGTGGTTACTAGTAATAGGGGTAGAAGGGAGGAAGAAACAGAAGTCTGTGTAGGGGGCACTGAATTTTTGTTAATGGTGGTGGAATAATTTGGAAATGGATAGTGCTGATGGTTGCACAACATGATGAGTGTACATATAAAAAATGTTGAATTGGCAAATGTTTTTGTTTCATTTTACCACAATAAAACAACAAAAATAAAATAGGCTGGCTCATTGTGTGCCACAGATTAATCAATTTACCATTATCACTAGGAGAAAGGAAACTTTATTTACTAAAACTTATTTTAGAGATCAGTTTAATTTTTAAAAGAATGAAAATAATTTGTTTTCCTGGATTGGAGTGGAGGAAATTCTTTTCCACAGTCTTCTACCAGATTCTCCCTTATTTAGGACACTCTTTTGCCATTTGGTAATTTTCCTCTTAAAGCTCATACTATTTAGAATGTATAACCTTCTGTCATAGTTATCTAATGGTGCTATAACCGAAATGCCACAAGTGGATGGCTTTAACAAACACAAATTTATTGTCTCCCAGTGTAGGAGGCTAGAGTCCAAATCAGGGTGTCAGCTCTAGGGGAATGCTTTCTTCCTCTGTTGACTCTGGGGAATAGTCTTTGTCTCTTTTCACTTCTGATCCTAGGCAATCTTCATGTGCCTTGGCAGCAGTCATTCCCTGGGTCTAGGAGGTTCTCTTCAGGATAGATCTTGAAATGTTCAAGTAGTACAATGCTGTCAGTGATAGAATAATATCCATACGCCTACAAGAAAGACCAGTAAATAGTACTATTATTCAACTTTACGGACCAACCACCAAAGCCAAAGATGAGGAAATTGAAGATTTTACCAATTTCAGCAGTCTGAAATTGACCAAACATGCAATCAAGATGGGTTGATTATTACTGGTGATTGGAATGTAGAAGCTGGAAACAAAGAATAATTATCAGTAGTTGAAAAATATGGTCTTCGTGATAGAAATGACACTGGAAATCGTATGATAGAATTTTGCAAGACCAATGACTTGTTTATTGCAAATATCTTTTTTCAACACATAAATGGTGGCTATACATGTGGACTTTGCCAGATGGAGTACACAGGAATCATATCAACTACATCTGTGGAAAGAGGTGACGGAAAAGCTCAATATCTTCAGCCAGACAAGGCCAGGAGCTGATTGTGGAACAGACCATCAACTGCTCATATGCAAGTTCAACTTGAAGGTGAAAACAATTAAACAAAGTCCACTAGAACCAAAATATGACCTTGATTATAGCCCTCCTGAATTGAGAGACCATCTAAAGAATAGATTTGATGCATTGAACACCAATGACCAAAAAACAGGGAAATTGTGGGATGACATAAAGAACATCATCCATGAAGAAAGTAAAAGGTCATTAAAAAGGCAGGAAAGAAAAAAAAAATCAAACTAAAATGGATGTCAGAAGAGACTCTGAAACTTGCCCTTGAGTGGAATGTAGCTAAAGCAAATGGAAGAAATGACAAGATAAAAGGACTGAACAGAAGATTTCAAAGAGCAGCTTGAGAAGACAAAATCAACTACTATAACGAAATGTGCAAAGACCTGGAGTTAGAAAATCAAAAGGAATGAACACGCTTGGCATTTCTCAAGCTGAGAAGAACTGAGGAAAAATTCAAGCCTCAAACTGCAATATTAAAAGATTCTATGGGCAAAATATTGAATGATGCAGGAAACATGAAAAGATGAGGGAAGGAATACACACAGTCACTTTACCAAAAAAACTGGTCGATGTCCATCCATTTCAGGAGGTGGCATATGATCAAGAACCAATGGTATTAAAGGAAGAAGCCAAAGCTGCACTGAAGGAATTGGTGAAGAACAATGCTCCAGGAAATGATGGAATACCCATTGAGATGTTTCAACAAACAATGCCATGCTGGAGAGAGTCACTTGTCTATGCCAAGAAATTTGAAGACAGCTACCTGGCCAAATGACTGGAACACATCCATATTTGTACCCATTCCAAAGAAAGGTGATCCCAAAGAATGTGGAAATTATCGAACAATATCATTAATATAAGACATGCAAGTAAAATTTTTCTGAAGATAATTAAAAAATGGTGGCAGCAGTATAGTGATAGAGATCTTCCAGAAATGCAAGCTGGATTCAGAAGAGGATGTGGATTGAGGGATAACATTGCTGATGTCAGATGTATCTGGGCTCAAAGCAAGAATACCAGAAAGATGTTTACTGTGTTTTATTGACTATGCAAAAGAATTCAATTGTGTAGATCATAACAAATTATAGGTAACATTGAGAAGAATGGGAATTCCAGAACATTTAATTGTGCTCATGAGGAACCTGTACATAGACCAGGAGGCTGTCATTCAAACAGAACAAGGGGATACTGCATGGTTTAAAATCAGGAAGGGAGTGCATCAGGGTTGTATCCTCTCACCATACTTATTCAATCTGTATGCTGAGCAAATAATCTGTGATGCTGGACTATATGAAAAAGAATATGGTGTCAAGATTGGAGAAAGACTCATTAACAACCTGCGATACGCAGATGACATACCTTTGCTTGCTGAAAGTGAAGAAGACCTGAAGCACTTACCAAGGAAGATTAAAGACTACAGTTTGCAGTATGGATTACATCTCTACATAAAGAAAATGAAAATCCCCATAACTGGACCAATAAGCAGGATCACGATAAATGGAGAAAAGATTTAAGTTGTCAAAGATTTCATATTACTTGGGTCTACAGTCAACACTAATGGAAGCAGCAGTCAAGAAATCGGACAGCGTACTGCACTGGGCAAATCTGCTGCAAAAACTTCTTTAAAGTGAAGAGCAAAGATGTTTCTTTGAAGACTGAGGCATGCCTAACCCATGCCATGGTATTTTCAATCGCTTCATATACATGTGAAAGCTGGACAATGAATAAAGAAGACCAAGGAAGAGTTGATGCTTTTGTGGTGCTGGCGAATAATACTGAAGAACTAACAACTCTGTCCTGGAAGAAGTGCAGCCGGAAAGCTCCTTGGAAGCAAGAATGGCCAGACTTGATCTCACCTACTTTGGTCATGTTGTCAAAAGGGACGATTCCCTGGAGAAGGATATCATGCTTGGTAAAGTGGAGGGTCAACGAAAAAGGGAAAGGCCCCCAACAAGATGGATTGATACAGTGGCTGCAATGATGGGCTTGGGTATAGCAGGGATTGTGAGGCTGGCACAAGACCAGGCAGCATTTCATTCTGTTGTACACAGGGTTGCTATGAGTCACAGCAAACTTGGCGGCACCTAACAAGAGGAGGTTCACAGTACAGGGATCCTGGATCCAAAGATGTGCTCTGCTCACAGCTCTTCTTTCTTTTCTGCTCACCTCTCTCCCCTTTTCTCTCATGTAAGATAAAAGGTGATACAGGCCACACCCCAGCGAAACTCCCTGGGCTGTGATCTGAGCAAGGATGTTGCATCCCACAGTAATCTCTTTTCAGCTGATTGGATTATCACATCAGATCACATCATATGGGATAATTACATCATTACATAACCGCCAAACCACTGAGAATCATGCCCCAGCTGACACACATTTTTTGGGGACACAAATCAAACCATGACACTTTCTTACACATTTCTTATATTAATTTAAGGAAATTCTAGATGGACTGTATCGTAGTAGTAATAATATAAATCACTGCTTATGCACAAAGACCCTGGTGCAGTTCAGCCACAAATGAAGAGTTTTTGCTCTAAATAAGTGGAAACCAGCAAGAAGGCAGAATGTGAATTATGCTTTGCCATGGATTGAGTTGTGTCCCCCAAAAATATGCATCAACCTGGTGGGGCTGAGATTCTTAGTGGTTTGGAAATTATGCAATTTTGTAATTTGGCATTATGTAATGATGTAATCATTCCCATGATGTAATGTGATGTGATCAACCAATCAGCTGTAAGTGGATTGTTGTTTGTTATTTGCCATCAAGCTGGACATGACTCATAGCGACCCCTCCTTGGGTTTCCAAGGTGGTATCACTACAGAAGTAGATTGCCCAACCTTCCTTCTGAGGAGTGGCTGGTGAGTTTGAACCTCCAGCCTTCTGGTTAGCAATCATGTGCCTTAGGCACTATGCTACCTTGTTGTTGTTGTTATTTGCCATCGAGTCGGTCCTGACTCATAGCGACCCTTCCTTGGGTTTCCGAGGCAGTATCACTACGGAAGTAGGATTGCCCAACCTTCCTTCCGAGGAGTGGCTGGTGGGTTTGAACCACCAGCCTTCTGGTTAGCAGTCAAGTGCCTTAGGCACTATGCTACCTTGTTGTTGTTGTTATTTGCCATCGAGTCGGTCCTGACTCATAGCGACCCTTCCTTGGGTTTCCGAGGCAGTATCACTACGGAAGTAGGATTGCCCAACCTTCCTTCCGAGGAGTGGCTGGTGGGTTTGAACCACCAGCCTTCTGGTTAGCAGTCAAGTGCCTTAGGCACTATGCTACCAGAGCTCCCATTATGCTACCAGAGGTCCTTAAATGGATTAGGGTGGCATGCAAACCCTTATTCAGATCATAGCCCTGATCAGATGCAAGGGGAGTTTCCCGGGGTGTGGCCTACATCACCTTTTATTTTACAAGATTTAAAAGGAGAGAAGTGAGCAGAGAAGGAGGGACCTGCTCCACTAAGAAAGAAGATCCAGGAGCAGAGCACATTTTTGGACCCAGGATTCCTGTGCTGTGAACCTCCTAGACCCAGGGAAAGTTTGCTGCTGAGACATATGGAGATCTTCAAGGGACACTAAGCCTACAGATGTTGAAAGGAGACAAGGACTTTTTTCCCATAGCCAACAGAGAAAGAAAGCATTCCCCTAGAGCTGGTGCCCTGAATTCAGACTTCTAGACTCATAAACTGCAAGAGAATAAATTTGTGTTTGTTACAGCCATCCACTTGTGGTATTTCTGTTATAGCAGCACTAGATACCTAAGACAGGCATTGACTTTAAACTTTTGCTTTGTTTAAATTCTGTCTAATTTACTGAAATTAGTCTTGGTACCTTTTAAGTAAGTGAGGTCAAATTTTAATAATTAATAATGGTGTAGAACCATAAAATATAAATAGTTTTTAATTAAAATTTTGTATTTAATTTTTATATTTTACTGACTTTCAACTTCAGTGGGATTCATTCATGAATGGATTTCTTCACTATATATTAATAAAATTTATACTCTGGCATTTTCTTTAATTTTATTTTTTTTTATACTTAGGCTTTACAAAGTATCTAATCAATTTCAGATGATCAAAATAAAGGTTTCAAACTTCCTTATATTTTCTGTTTCAAAATGTATTTCCTATATTGCTTATTCTGATCTATCTTCACCTAATTTTTTCCTCTCTTATATATTTTTTTTAATCTTTCTTCTCTTTGTTGTGTTCTAATGAAGATTCTGCTTTCTTCATCTAAACCTATCCCAAAAAGCTATGTGCCAAAACTTGGCAAGGGTGATGTAAAGGATAAGTTTGAAGCCATGCAAAGAGCCAGGGAAGAAAGAAACCAAAGGAGATCTAGAGAAGAAAAGCAAAGAAGAAAAGAACAATATATTAGAGAGAGAGAATGGAACAGGAGAAAGCAGGAGGTTATTTTATTTTATTTTATTCTTGTGCAAGTTTTCATTTTTACATTTTCAATTTATTTTTCACATTAACCACATTTTATATTAAGCATAATTCAAATAATTTTGTGTTTACCTGATAAGCTAATTTCAACTATGCATATAATTTAATTTTGTCTAATATTTGGAGATGTGTTCATATTAATTTATTTAACCATCCAGATTAAAGAAATGCTTGCTTCAGATGATGATGAAGAGGTATCTTCTAAAATAGAAAAGGCTTATGTCCCAAAGCTAACAGGTAAGCAATTTGAGAACTGCATTATAAATAAAATTGCAAAGAAGGAAACAGCAAAATATAAAAATTTTCCATATTTTTTAGGAACTGTTAAAGGTAAATTTGCTGAAATGGAGAAACAAAGACAAGAAGAAGAAAAAAAGAGAACAGAGGAAGAACGAAAACGCAGAATTGAGCAGGATATGTTAGAAAAGAGGAAAATACAGCGTGAATTAGCAAAAAAGGCTGAGCAGGTATACACTAAATATTAAGTTGGTATTTGATTCAGAAACTGATTTAGCAAAAAAAAAAACAACTAATCAGTATGTTGCTTGATTAAAAAAATTTAAAATAACAGAAGCTTATTAAACAGCACTAACCTGAAAATAAGATCTTAAGCACAAATATAATAACAAATACCTGGAAGAATAAGGACAGAATTACCTATTTTAAGTTTGAATTTTTAGATGACTTTTGTTACTTACTAGCCTATCCTCTTGCACACATTCCTTACACTGTCCAAATTCCTTCAAGTATCCACAAGCACGTAACAAAATGCTAGTGTTTTTTTTTTTAAAACCAAAGGAGTTGAGTTCAATTCCAGGGCTGAAGGGTGACTTGGAGCCATATTCTTGGGGGTTTCACCAGTCTCTATCAGATGAGTGGTTGGCACTGGTAGCCAAGCCAAAAGAACCATCTAGTTCTTTTGGTTTCAGAGTCATATAGGTTGAGGTTCTTTCTCATGGTCCATTCGTCCTTTGGACTGTTTCCATGTGTCTTTGATTTTCTTCATTCTTCTTTGCTCTGGACAAAGGGAGACCAATAGTTGTATTTCAGATGGCTGCTCACAAGCTTTTAAGACCCCAGTCACTTACTCAGCAAAGTAAGACATAGAACATTATTTTTATATACCATGTTGTGTCAATTGAAATTGATGTCCCCCACAACCATGGTCCCCAGCCCGCTGTCCCAGTGACTTACTCCCTTCAAGGTGCTTAGCTGTGGCTAAGAAGTTATCCTAACTTTGCCTCCTATTAGGTTTAAACTGCATATGGACATTTTTATAGCACACACAAATACATATATAAGTATATCATCTGCCAAACCTGTGTGTAGTCGTGGGTATATTTCCATTTGCCTATCCATACCTGATGTTTTTGCTAGATATCTATATATCCACCCATATATTTGTGTTTGCTGTCACTGATAACACAGTATTGTGTATGCAATAGTATTTGCCTTTATTGTTTGTACCTCTTGTGCACCTCTTCCATGTCTTCCTTTTCCTTAATGATACTATGCTAGTCTTTTAATATCAATCAGTAAATACTTGTTGGTTATCAAATACTATGGCATAATTAAGATATCTTCCTATTCAATAATTTGATACGGATTACATCACATTGTATCTAATCATTGTATTATTAACTAGCTTGTTAACTTTCTTGTTTTAAATTGGGGATGGTAGTAAGAGAAATGTCTGGCAGTTCTTTCCTTCAGTCATTACTGATCCCCATAGTCATAGAGGATAAATGAGGAAGGAGAAAATGTATTACTATTATGTTTTTACATAGCCTCTTAACAAACTTAAAATTTCCATACATTTTAGCACAGATCATGAGAACTAAGAGACTGATAAGTACTTTAAAAATATCCTAGACTCTGTTCTAACCGCCTGAAAAAGCTAATCTCTCAAAAGGATTAATGATTATAATGATATAGAAACTTGAATTTCTAATAGTCATAACTATATTTTATGAAATAAAGAATTGATGAGTTCATAAAAGTTTCTTAACTATGTAAGTATTTGTTTTACACTTAAATTATGTGTAGTGGTAGAGTTGAAAAGATGACAATATATTGTTTATATACTATAACCTGGTCTATATTGTAAGATTAAAAGAGATGATCAGTGTATTTAGTAATGAAGTAATAATGTTATTTATCTCCTCAGGTTGTTAATAAGATTATATGAGGTAGTAAGTTCAAAGCACTTAGAACAGTGCCAGGTACAAAATCAATGTGCTATAAATACTTCAAATTCCACCTAAACAATATTTCATATGGATAAAGTAAATCATCAAACCATTTTAATTTCTCCTCTTTTTCTCAGCAGTGTTTTAACAAATATCCATGGTCTTCACAATATATTGGCTCTTTACAAACAAGTTTTATTGGGAGATTGTGCTTGGCACTATTTTAGAAGTGCTTTAGATTATTTTTAAGCTTTTAAACTACTTGCCATGCTCTGTTTCGCTTCCATTTCATTTTTAAAAAGTGACAGCAAAATCAAAACATATGCCATACTTGCATACAATAGTAGTTTATTTACCCAGACTTTTCAAAATAACCATTTGTCCAGTGGCAAATGACATATGCCAAATGAACCGTAGAAAAGAATGGGAACTTCCTGTATTTTATTACTTTGTACCTCTTTATCAGAAGAAAGGATGGCATATACTTTACTACTGCCACCTCCAGTCATCAAAGATGTATTTATTTTACAATAAAATTTTACAAGGGAATAAATTATAAACAGCCTGGTGTTTGGCAGCAAATAGTGAGTATGTACCTGCGGTTAGTCTATTTCTTTTAAGTCTTTCATCCTTTCTCAGTACTGATTATTTTCTAGATTTAAAATTTAAGACTCTTGAAACTCCAAGAGCAGCATATGTAGGTAATGGTTTGTCACTGAAAAACTGTGTTTTGAAGAGATGAGTTTGAATATGATGAAGATATAGAATACTCAGAGAGTGAAAGAAACAAATTTTACTCACTGCTATTGAGTCGGCTCTGACGCATTGCGACTCCTCCTTGGGCTTTCCAGGCAATATCACTACGCAAGTAGATTGCCCAACCTTCCTTCCCAGGAGTAGCTGGTGGGTTTGAACTGTCAGTCTTCTGGGTAGCAGTCAAATGCCTTAGGCACTATGCCACCAGAGCTCCCAGAAACAAAATAAGATCATGAAAAAAAGTTGAAACTACTTTTTTAGTAACCCTCAATACTTGCTAAGGAGCTCTGGTAGTGTAGCAGATAAGGAATTTGGCTGCTAACCAGAAGGTCAGTGATTCAAACCCACCAGCTGCTTCACAGAAGGAAGATGGGGTGATCTACTCTGACTGGACGGCACATAACAACAACAACAACAAACTTTCATAAAGATTTACAGCCTCAGAAACCCAAAGGGGGCTAAGAGTTGGAATCGACTCAATGGCAGTGAGTTTGGTTTTGGTTTTTGGAGATACCTGCTACATGGCAGGGTGCAATAGAATCCCAGTTAATGAAATATCTGGCCTATTAAATAATTAAATATGTAGGTAGAGCAAAACAATAACTCACAATAATTTCATCTTACAAATGTAGTGTCTAATTTTAAAACCTAATTAAGTATATTTTACATTTAAATTTAATTTAATTTAGTGTATCTTTGAATACAAGGAGTAAAGTATGGCATAGATCGTCAAGGAGAGTCTTGGAGATCAGTTCTGAGATTCTAGGATCTTATAATGAATTAAGAATGGGTATATTTCATATACTAGAACAAAGAACAATGATAATATGGAAGAGAGTTTTGATTTGGTACTATTTGTTCATCTTTGAGGATACTCTGAGGGGCAAGATTCAAGTCCATCAAATTAGAAAAAGAGATGAAGTTATTGGTGAGAGAGGAAGATGTTGAAAAGAAAGGAGAGAAAAGGAAATTGACTTAGGAAGGAGTGAAAGATGTTTTTCATAAAGCAAAAGAAATAGTTGGGAAGTAGCTCTTCAATGGTTGCGTCTAAAAGCTAACACTATAACTGAACTTCTGAATACCTCAGTCCTCTCTGTGAATGTACTGCTACCCTTGGCTTCTTAGACAAATCAATCTTTTCTCGTGTTTATTGAAATCAGTAGGAAAAAAGTATTCTTCTATCTTTTGTTGTTTTGGTAATGGTTTAAAATGAGCAAAGAAGAAAGCAAAACAAATACTACCACCACCCCCACCACCCCACTAACTCCAACAGAGTTTATTACCATAGAAGTAATAAATATTATTTGGGAAGGTAGTAACAGCAAGAAAAAGAATTTGGTGTCAGGAAATTTAGAATTTCTCTTCTGTATACTTTCAATATCTGCCTTCAGAATAATTTATTTTTCAAGAAAGTGTGTATTATAATAAAATGTATTATTTCTTCCTTGATAGAAAACATAGAAAAACAGAAAAGTAGGAAGATAAGAAAGCAGGGACTTTTTCAGATCAGTTCCTAGTATGAGCCAGCAAAAAACAAAAAACAAAACAAAAAAAACTCACTGCCTTGGAGTCGGATTTGACTCATAGCGACCCCTCCTTGGGTTTCCGAGGCGGTGTCTCTAAGGAAGTAGATTGCCCAATCTTCCTTCTGAGGAGTGGCTGGTGGGTTTGAACCAACAGCCTTCTGGTTAGCATTCAAATGCCTTAGGCACTACACTTTAGACTGCTGAGGATCAGACTACTTTCAGGATTGGCTTTAAAAATCAATTTAAAACAATAAACGATCCGAATTTTTATTTTATAACCTTTCCCATTGCTTGTGTTTCCTTTCCCTGAAATCTTCAAACAACGCTGACTTATTTAAATCATTTATTTTCTCTCATTGTTCAGTTTGTTAAGTACTTTAATCTGCCCTTCTATTTAACTTAAGGACATTTCTTATGAGTTATAACCAAATTGACCTCTCTCCTTTTGAATGAGGGCCTTTCAATTTAAATCTGGTGAAAATATAAAACAAACATTATGACTACCGGAATTATTTTCCTTTCTAACTTACCATGTGAAAGCCTACAACTTTCAGCCCACTTTGTTATTCTTTCTGTTATATTCTTGCCATATTCTTGCCATATATGTCTTTTATGACAATCATGAAAATTATTTCATTGCTAATGATAGATTTTCCTTTACTGGAGCAGAGGCAGGTAATGGAAAAATGTTTCAGTGTATCTCAACTAAAATTTCGAATTAAGTTAATAATTGCTAATTGTAAGCTCACAGTCTGGTCGTAAGAGTTTGGTACATTATTCAATTTCCAGAATTACCAAAGTAGGCTTTATTTTACTTTTTTCTTAATATATTGTTCCTTGGATATTGATATAAAAACACAAAAATGAAAAAAGGTTTATTCTTCACTTAAAAGGAAATAGTTGGCTAATTTGGAGCAACAAAATATTTTAAAAATTATAAGTTTGAAAAATTTCCATAAGTCACAGATAAATTACTTTTCAGTTATATGTTTAAAAGCAAAAATCCAACGTAATGTAATGATCTGAAATTCTCATTCAATAGATTGAGGACATAAACAATACGGGAACTGAATCAGCATCAGAGGTAAACAGACATTTCCTTTAATGAAACATTCACCTAAAATTATCTGATTCACAAATTTCTTTTAATTTAAGCAAATATTGGAAGAGTTTGTACTCTTCTTTATTATTTATAGCAATAACAAAAAAAAAGACAATTTTTTTAAAGCAATATCATACTTTACACTTTCAAACACTATAGCTTAAGTGTTTTTAAAGTAAAGTATGCTTTTGATTTTGTTAGGTTAGAAAGACAAGTTTCTTTAGTCTCAGTTTAAGATACGCTGGCAACACTATATACTTTTTAGTTATTACTAACAGATGAGATTGTTGAAAACTAACATTTTAAAAATTCAGTTTTTTTTTTTCATCATTTATCTTCTTTTCTCAGAGTTCCTGACAGTTTGTGTTTTGGTTATCACATACTAGTACGTGTATCTACTACCATGTGGAATGTTCAACCACATTTTAGTTGTCCCTTTTTATCTAACAGAGAAAACAAAAACAAAACAATTTGATGGTGTGTCTAAAATTATAGCCACTTAAATCAGAAGCAATTTTATTTTAGGGCCATATAGTTCTTCACTTTATATTTGAAAAAATTCAGAGGCAACAATAAGGTATTTAACAGAACCAATGAAAATGAATTTTAAAAAGCAACAAATGTTTAAAAAATTTTAATAGGATTAAACACCAAAAATTTTACCTATAATGTAAATGTTGAATAAAGCATTCAGAAATACTGTATTTGTTTTTCTCAGTAAATATTAATTGTATTATTTAAAAGCTTGCATGGGCAGAAAAATCATATAGAGCAGCTTTTTTTTTTTTTCTTTCTTTTTTCTTCTGTTCTTTAAATTAAATCCATCCACCATCAAATTGATTTAGAATACTCTCAGGTGCACAATACATTTTCTGGGATTGATTAGTGCACAGATAACTAAATTCAAGCAATGTCACTGCAGTTTCATAGTTTCATTATCTCAACAGTTTGATTAATGTCATCTTCTATGAAATGCTTCTTGAAGCAATAGATTTCAGTAAGATTTACTCATAATGTGCAATGAATTTAGAGAAAGGAATATTTAAGAATCTGTTAAAAAAATAAGTTTTTTGTTCTTCACAATAATGGATAGTAATATAATGAAATTTACCAACGATGGAGGTAAAGTCCCGTGAAATCTAAGTTTTGGTTAAGAAGAAATATACTAATTATCTATCTTATAAAATAGGAAGGAGATGATTCGCTACTTGTGACAGTGGTACCTGTCAAATCACACAAAATATCTGGAAAAATAAAAAAGAATTTTGAGGATCTAGAAAAAGAACGAGAAGAAAAAGAGAGGTATGAAGAAGATAAAAGAAGATCTGAAGAACGGCAATCTCTGAAGGAAGCAAAATGTCTTTCATTGGTCATGGTAAATTTTTTTAAGGAACAAATCTAAGCAGTTAAGTTAGTTAGCAGCATTTTCCTGATTAACAGATGTGTTTTTATAATGTTTTCTTAGGATGAAGAAATGGAAAGCAAGGCAAAAAAGGGATCATTTTCTCCTGGAAAACTGAAATTAACTTTTGAAGAACTGGAAAGACAAAGACAAGAAAACCAAAAGAGGCAAGCTGAAGAAGAAGCAAGACAACGTTTAGAAGAAGAGAAGAGGGCTTTTGAAGAAGCAAGGCGCCAAATGGTGAAAACATATTTTTAAAACCTTACATTTAATATTAGGGAAGGTGGCTGGTTTATCTAAATTCATTCCTATAAATCTGAGACTTCGAGCATAGTGCCTAAGGCATTTGACTGCTAACCAGAAGGCTGGTGGCTCAAACCCACCACCCATTCCTTGGAAGACTGGGCAATCTACTTCCGTAGTGATTGATACTGCCTGGGAAACCCAAGGAGGGGTCGCTATGAGTCGGGTCAGACTCCACGGCACATAACAACAACAACATACTCTTTTAAAGGAGCTCTGGTGGCATAGCGCCTAAGGCACTTGACTACTAATTAGAAGGCTGGCAGTTCAAACCCACCAGCCACTTCTCAGACTCCATGGCAGAGTTTTGTTGTTGTTTATTTGAAAGGGCTTGATTTCAAAACTGTATTTATATTCCATATATAAAATGGATCTGTATTGTTTTTTAGTTTCCATTTTGGGACATTTTACCCACATGTTTAAAACTTAATTTTTAGTATTATAAGTTGTTATAAATGTGCAAAATAAGTACTCATTGAATCTGGTTCTCTTCATCTCTTAGTTCAGCCTGCACTGTATATAATGGTATGAGTGCAGCACATTTTCAAGTCTGATCATAAGTGTACACTTAGCATTTCAGTCCAGTTTTTCAAATGTTTGAACATATCAAGATAGCAATTTACTATGGAATATACAGTTTTCCATATAAAATATGTACATATATATGTGTATATAAAACTCACTGCTGTCCAGTAAGATCCGACCCATAGCGACCCATCCTCCTTGGGTTTCTGAGGCTGTATCATTAGGGAAGTAGATCGCCTTGTCTTCCTTCTAAGGAGTAGCTGGGGGGTTTGAACTACCAGGCTTCTGGTTAGCTCCCTCTCTCTGGTGGGGTAGTGCCTAAGGCATTTGACTGCTAACCAGAAGGCTGGCGGTTCAAATCCACCAGCGACTCCTTAGAAGACTGGGCAATCTACTGCCATAGAGATACCAAACCAAAACCACACTCACTGCAGTAGAGTCGGTTCCGACTTATAGCGACCCTCCTCGTGTTTCCGAGGTAGTATCACTATGGAAGTAGATTGCCCAATCTTCCTTAGGAGGAGTGACTTGGGGGTTTGAACCTCCAGCCTTCTGGTTAGCAGTCAAATGCCACAGGCATTATGCCACCAGAGCTCCTTCCATAGATACTTCCTCAGAAACCGAAGGAGGGGTCGCTATGATTCAGAACTGACTTGATGGCAGTGAGTTTGGTTGGTTTTGGTTTTGGCATGTACAAAGCTTTGGTAGGAGCTCTGGTAGTGTAGTGCCTAAAGCACCTGACTGCTAACCAGAAGGCTGGCGTTTCAAACCCACCAGCCACTCCTCAGAAGGAAGACTGGGCAATCTACTTCCATAGTGATACTGCCTGGAAAGCCCAAGGAGGAGTCGCTATAAGTCGGATCCGACTAGATGGCAGTGTGTTTGGTTGTTAGGAAGGAGCTTTGGTAGTGCAGTGCCTTAGGCATTTGACAGCTACCAGAAGGTTAGCAATTCAAACTCACCAACCGCTCTGTGTAATTAAGATGAGGCAATCTATTTCCATAAAGATTTACTGCCTTCGAAACCCAATGGCAGTAACTATGAGTCAGAACTGACTTGATAGCAGTGGGTTTAGTTTTGGTTTTATACACTAAGTGCTTTACAAATGCTTACTATGATGATGATATTCATAGATTTTTGGATACAAAATGAAATTAAAAATAAGAAAACACTCATTCCAAATCTCACTGAAAGAATTTAAAATTTAACATCTATAATTTTAAAAGGTACTAGAACCTCCTTGATCAGAACTGATTATTAATATTCTAAGAATTATATTTTCAAAATTTTAATTTTCTATACATTTGTGGAAAATGTTATTACTTTAAATAATTGTTGTTGTTGTTAGGCATCACTGACAGCAACCCTACCTACAACAGAATGAAACAACATCGGGTCTTGGTCTATCATTAAATCATTGCTGTTTGTGCCCATTGTTGCTGCCACTATGTCAATCTGTCTTTTTGAGGGTCTTTCTTTTTTCTGAAACTCTACTTTATGAAACAGGACTGTCCTTCCACAGGGACTAGTCGCCCCTGAACACATGTCCAAAGTATGTGAGATGAAGCCTTCTGGCTGTACTATTTCCAAAACAGATTTTTTTTTTTTTTCCTGGTAGTCCATGGTATATACAATATTCTTTGCCAACACCCTAATTCAAAGGCACCAATTTTTCGGTCTTCCTTATTCATCGTCTTGCTTTTGGATGCATATGAGATAGCTGAAAATACCATTGGTTGGGTCAGGTACATTTTAGTGACATCCTTGCTCTTTAACACTTTAAAGAGATTGTTTGCAGCAGATTTGCCCAATGCAATATGTCATTTTATTTCCTGACTGCTACTTATATGGGCATTGATTATGGATCCAATGAAAATGAAATCCTTGACAACTTCAATCTTTTCTCCTTTTATCATGATGCTACTTACTGGTACAATTGTGAGGATTTTAATTTTCTTTATGTTGAGGTGTAATCCATACTGAAGGCACTACACTACCAGAGCTCCTTTTGGATAATTACACTTGTACAAAACCTACACATTGTAGGTGTCACTGGTGGTTAAATTTAATGAAAAGAAACAGAAATATCATTAATTTTTAAAAATCATATATTTTAGGTAGCTTAATATTAAATAAAAAGTTTATTAATAAAATTATACAATTTTATATACAGTAGTTCCAGATATAATATTTTATCTGATTAATATATGGAAAAGAACCACAGTACATAGGAAAATTCTATGAAAAATACAAAATGGAAAATTATTTTACTATCAAAGAGACTCTTAGTAGGTATACATGAACCTCCATTTAAACTATATATATAATGTTTAGGAGCTCTGGTAGCATAGTGGCTAAGACACTGGCCTGCTAACCAGACGGCTGGCGGTTCAAACCCACCAGCCACTCCTCGGAAGGAAGGTTGGGCAATCCTACTTCCATAGTGATACTGCCTTGGAAACCTAAGGAGGGGTCGCTATGAGTCGGGTTTGACTCGACGGCACATAACAACAACAACAACAACATATAATGTTTTGGGAGCTTTGGTGGTGTAGTGCCTAAGGCATTTGACTGCTAACCAGAACGTTGGTGGTTCAAACCCACAGGCCACTCCTTGGAAGGAAGATTGGGCAATCTACTTCTGTAGTGATGTTGTTGTTGTTGTTATGTGCCATAAAGTCAGCCTGACTCATAGCGACCCCTCCTTGGGTTTCCGAGGCAGTATCACTACGGAAGTAGATTGCCCCATCTTCCTTCCGAGGTGTGGCTGGTGGGTTTGAACCGCCGCCTTCTGGTTACAAGTCAAGTGCCTTAGGCACTATGCTACCAGAGCTCCTTTATCATAAAGACCTTTAAAAGGAAGAGAATTTTGGTTAAGCATATTAAGGGTAAAAACACTCCTGTATGAGGTGGATAATTCTGTGCCTTGGATTTATAATTCATTCCTGTCTTTGATGATTCTCAATTCTTAGTAATTAGTGGTTTCTTTGTTTAGATAAATGAAGAGGAGGAAAACCAAGACACAGAAAAACTGTTTAAAGAGTACCGCCCTGGTAAACTCAAACTCAGTTTTGAAGAAATAGAAAGGCAGAGGAGAGAAGACAAAAAAAGGAAAGCAGAAGAAGAAGCCAGAAGAAGAATAGAGGAAGAAAAGAAGGCATTTGCTGAAGCAAGGAGGAGCATGGTAAAACAGAACCTAATTGGAGAATGGCCCATCAGGATCTAGCGTTTTTAGAATGTTAATAGAAATCTTTAGACTTTGGGGAATACTCCGTTATTTCTGGGATTTTGCCAAGAGTAGGAATAAAACATAGGTTTTAAATTCTTCTATGGTATAACACCAGTCAGGCAAAGGTGTTTGCTTCAGTGCAGTGCTGAGAAGGTTCTGATTAAATTTCCATCCCTGCCATAGAGGATTCAATATTATCTACCTTCTCTGGGAAGACATGTTTTCCAGAATTGAATATCTAAGAAAGAAGAAAGGCTCTTCCTTCCCTCCCCTCCCCTCCCTTCGTTTGTCTTTCTTTCTCCTTGCCCCCTCCCTCGCTCACTCCTTCCTTCTTTTCCTGTTTCATTTCCATTTTCATACCATCCAGAATATATTAAATGACCAAAGTAATTTAATCATAATTATTTAACTCTACAAAATGCTCACTCATCACTGATAGCAAATGTAATTATGCCACAAAATTATGGTTCCTATACTCTGGTAGCATAGTGCCTAAGGCACTTGACTGCTAACCAGAAGTCTGGCGGTTCAAACCCACCAGCCACTCCTTGGAAGGAAGATGGGGCAATCTACTTCCACAGTGATACTGCCTTGGAAACCCAGGGAGGGGTCGCTATGAGTCGGGTTAGACTCCACGGCACATAACAACAACAACATACTTTTTTAAAGGAGCTCTGGTGGCGTAGCGCCTAAGGCACTTGACTACTAATTAGAAGGCTGGCAATTCAAACCCACCAGCCACTTCTCAGAAGGAAGACTGCGCAATCTGTTTCCACAGAGATACCGCCTCGGAAACCCAAGGAGGGGTTGCTATACTATTTTAATGTTTTTAAGTGTACAGTTATCCAACAAACTTTATTTTCAAGCTAGTTGACACTTGAACACTCTAACCACCTCTTGAAACATTTTCATTGCTTTCAATGATATCATAATCTGGTTTTCCTCCTACTTCTCAGTGTGGTTCAGACTTACATATAGGAGCTCTGGTGGCATAGTGCCTAAGACATTTGACTGCTAACCAGAAGGCCTGCAGTTCAAACCCATCAGCCACTCCTCAGAAGGAAGATTGAAGAATGGGCAATCTACTTCTTCAGAGATAAACCAAAAACCAAACTCACTGCCATCGATTGGGATTTGACTCATAGCGACCCCTCCTTGGGTTTCTGTAGAGATGTTGTTGTTGTTGTTATGTGCCGTCGAGTCAGACCTGACTCATAGCGACCCCTCCTTGGGTTTCCGAGGCAGTGTCACTACAGAAGTAGATTGCCCAACCTTCCTTCCGAGGAGTGGGCTGGTGGGTTTGAACCACCAGCCTTCTGGTTAGCAGTCAAGCGCCTTAAGCACTACACTACCAGAGCTCCCTTCTGTAGAGATACCGCCTTGGAAACCCAAGGAGGGGGTCGCTATGAGTCAAAACAACTCAACAGCAGTTGAGGTTTTATTTTATTTTAGTTTTTGGCTTTATCACCCACCCAGGTGCTCAAGTCAGAAATTTTTCATTCATGCCTCACATCCTGTCACTAAATATCATTTATTCTCTCTCTTAAATCATTCTAAAATCTATTGGTTTTTCCCTGTAGTAGTCCCATGCCACTACTATAATGCAGGTTACTGTTATCCCTTGCCTGGGACCAACTGCTAATTAACTTGCTTTCTTGCCTATAATCCATTTTTCTCTGTAAAGAGAGATCTTTACAGAGAAAAAAACAAAAGACAAAAAAAGCAAATTTACTTGTTATTATTTTACTTACTATCTTTTCACTTCCCTTAAAAATGCAAAAAACTTGTAAGAAATAATGGTGCCTTTGTATACTTCTCCAGCTTAATTTCTTTTTCTTCCTTCACCTGTCATCTTTGTTCCAGGTGTATTAAATTTCTTTCCATTTTTTCAAAGTGCTGTTCTTGCACTTCTGTGTCTCTTCACAAATCCTGCCTGAAACACATTGCTCTGTTCTTTCTGATGCTCATTTTCTTTGGGAAGATTTTACATATAACACAAGTTCCAAATCGATTCTCCTTCCAGGTATTCTTATAGCACTGAGTACTCCCTCAGTATATAGCTCTAATGCTGTATTGTCATTACTTATTGGCTCTCTTTCTAAGTAAGGCTGTGATGTCTTTTCCTTCATTAAGGAAGTGGCACAATGTCTAGCATAATAGACCGCCAATAAATATTTGTGAAATTAAACTATTTTGTGTGTATTAGGTAATCCCAGATGCACAAATGGTTTCTACATAAATACCCTATAAACATTATGAAAGCATTTAGTTTTTAGAGACTATTTTCAGAAGTGGTGGAAGAGCGGAGCTGTGAAGATTAGGAGAACTTATTCTGGAGGTAGATTTTAAAACCAACCAGCCTCCATTTTTTTCACTTTACTAAATTGCCTTCTTACCATGATTTACTAGAAGGAAAAGTTCAGGGAAGGGAAACTGCATTAAACCAAAACCAAGCCTAATTTATTAAAAAAATTTCCTAGAGATGTTTCTGTATCAGGAAAGGAAAAACAAACTTCCTTCATATATGTTGTTTTCTTATCCAGGGCCAAGTATAGTAATTTCATAAAATAGTTCAGTTAACTCAACAACAACAAGCTGTTGCTATGGATTTGATTCCAACTCCTAGCGACTCTGTATGACAAAGCAGAATTGCCCCATGGGGTTTGCGAGGCTATAATCATTGCGGGGAGCAGACTGTCTCATTTTTCTCCAGCTGAGCGGCTAAAACCAAAAAATACAAACTCACTGCCATTGAGTCAATTTGACTCACAGCGACCCCTCCTTGCATTTCTGAGGCAGTATCTCTACAGAAGTAGATTGCTCTATCTTCCTTCTGAGGAGTGGCTGGTGGGTTTGAACTTCCAGCCTTCTGGTTAGCAGTCAGATGGCTGAGTGGCTGGTGGGTTCCAAATGATTAGGAGCCAAGCACTTAACCATTGTGCCTGTAGGGCTCCTCATAGATTACATAAACATTTTTTTAAAAAACAATCCACAGATTGCAGAACCATTTAAACATTGTTTCTGAGTTCAGCTGGTTTTGTGGTAAAGCCTGTCAAATAAAAAACTTGGATCAGATAAATAAGTACCCCTAGCCTATCCCATTCCCCTCTATTTCAAACACAGGCCAGAAGCACATGTATAACATACCTTCAGGGGATCAAAAAACAGAATTAGGTAATTCTTTCCCATGGTAAAATGTATACCAAGTCAACAACTTTATATTTGCAGTTCAGGAATTGCCTATAAACAGATGTTAATGTAATGCAAAAACCACCATTTGAGAGCTTATGATGTCAGGCACTCTGCTAATCGTGCCTGACACATTTAAACTTTATTTAATCTTCATGACAACTAAATGAAAGTTGTCACAGATAAGGAAACTCAGGTTTAAGAAAGTTGAGGTAACTTGCCCAAAGTCACAGCTAGATAGACAGTTTTCATGAAATTACAAAAAGACAGTCCAAGTTATGTAAGATTAAACAAAAGAAAAACAAAAAACCAAACTCACTGCCATTGAGTCGATTTCAACTCATAATGACCCCACCTTGGGTTTCCAAGGCAGTATCACTACAGAAGTAGACTGCCCCATCTTCCTTCTGAGGAGTGGCTGGTCGATTAGAGTCAAATACTTTAGGTACTACGCCAACAGAGCTATATGTTTATGTAAGTGTTCTTAGTATTATAGAGAGAAAACCCACTCAGTCCATAAAAATGAAATTAAGAGGATTTATTCAGGAAAAATACATGTGGATGCAGGAAGGCACCAGTCCACATAAATGAGAACTCATGACTCCAACTAACATGTAACTAAGGCAAATATAAATATAGTCCATGGAACAAAGAAATTATAACACAGTTGTTTGGTTACTCTTTGGTTGAGGTCATAAGGAAGATGGGTTAGGGGAGGAGAATAAAGCTTCTATTGAATAATACGTTATAAAGAATCACCATAACAGATTTCAGGAACTAAGTACAGAAGTAGTTAAGTCTTAATCACATAGCTTTTAGGTGGAATCATAAAACTTCATTGGTGCATGTTTACACAGCTTTAACCAAGTATCTCAGCAGTGGGTAAAACACCTCTGGGTGCCAGGATCTCATTTTTCGAATATAACCTGTTAAACAAAAACCTTTTTTTAGGGGTCTCGGAAACTTAAGGCCAACTCCATACTCTTTCAAGAATTCTTTCTATGACATCTTTGTCATGAAGAGATATTCTTTTGGCCTATTTTATACAGAAGACGCCTGTCTCAAGATTCCCTTCCTTAGAGTATATTTCTTTTACATCCTGGCTTGACTATAGAGGTGTTCTGGTTACTTAGTGCTGCTCTGACGAGCCTGTACCACAAATGGGATGGCTTGACAAACAGGTTTATTCTTGTACAGTTCAGAAGGCTAGAAGTCTGAGTTCAAAGTGCCAGGCTTTAGGGGCTGGGTGAAAGCCCCTCGACCTTGGGCTTCAGCTCTGCTTCTTGATCCCCGCCCACGGAAGCTAGAGGCATCCCTTCAGTCAGACAGCTGCTGGCTGCTCAGGCTAACAAGCTCAAGGTTGACAAATAAAATGGCATAGTCCCCATGTCACCAAACCACACGGCAGGCCATTAATTCAAGTCCATTAAAAGTCTCAAGATCGGCAGAACATGGCAGGCTGCTGAATAAACAACACGGCTACGTGCAGAGTTCAAGCATGCCATAAGATAGAGACCATTCCCAAAGCTGCTGCTTATATATGGGAAGCAGACCACATATCCAAGACAGCTATTCAGCTACTAACAATAGATTCTACCATGGAGTTAATTACCAGTCTCATCATGAGGAATACTATATCCAGCTGCCCAGCCACTCACAGGTTTATCCAAGTTGACACACAAACTTAACCACAACAAGAGGGAAATTACTTCTTAGTTTTTATGGCTTCCAGCAATTAACACAGAAAGGTAACAGGAGTGTGTAAGGAGAATTGTCCTTCAGCCCAAGCAGATTCCCAGGCAGGCAGATGACTGAAAAGAGTTTAATTCAGCAAGGAAAAAAAAAAAAAAACCCAAACTCACTGTCTTGCCTCATACCGACGACTCCTTTCTGAGGCAGTATCTCTACAGTCTTCTTTACAAGGAGTAGCTGGTGGGTTTGAACCACCAGTCGCAGTCATATGCTAATTTAAGCCCCTAATTCAGCAAGAATTGACTTAAATCATTCAGCTTTGGTCAAAAAGACTTTATGGATTTCTCTTTTACATTACAGAGATTCTTGAAAATCGCTATGCATTGGAACTGATTTGAGGGCAGTGAGTTTGAATTTTTTTTCACAGGGTTATAGGATTAAATAATCACTACAGTGCTTAGAACTGTACCTGGCACAAAGTAACCTCTCAGTGAGTAGTAACCATTATTATTTCTTTAAAATTAGCCTGACAGAAAATAAATCAGTTCAATAAAATCATAGCATTGAGAGATTTTTGCCTGGTTATGAAGGACTCATGATAGAGTACCTAACACTCAGATAAGAGTAGGATTTAACTGAAATGCTCTATTTTGATTACCAATGTGGAGATAAATTTTAACACAATTCAAAATATTCTCAATATTAGAAAATATAAGGCATTTGACTGCTAACCAGAAGGCTGGCGGTTCAAACCCACCAGCCACTCCTCAGAAGGAAGATTGGGCAATCTACTTCCATAGTAATACTGCCTCGGAAACCCAAGGAGGGGTCGCTATGAGTCAGGATTGACTCGATGGCAGTGAGTTTGGTTTTGGTTTAATTCATATCACTCCTAGCATAAATAAAGTCAAAGTGTTCTTTATATTCAATAAAATTGAGAACAGATGGTCACATTTCTTCTGTAACACAAAATACCTTTCACATTTTTAAATAATTCATCCCTTGTTTACTACTTTTTATTTTTAGAATTTTTTCTTTTTTTTTTGATTTCTAGTTCAATTTGATTTCTAGTTTAATGAAACCTTTCTACTATAAATAATCCCATTTTCTACAAGAAACATTTCCTTTTCACTGTGTATAATTCTGGCAAGAGTAATAAAATAATTATTTTAAATAGGTGATAGATGATGACTCTCCAGAGATATACAAAACAATCTCTCAAGAATCTCTTACACCAGGAAAACTGGAAATTAATTTTGAAGAATTATTAAAACAAAAAATGGAAGAAGAAAAACGACGAACAGAGGAAGAACGGAAGCATAAGCTAGAAATGGAGAAACAGGAATTTGAACAACTGAGACAAGAAATGGGAGAGGTAAGATTTTTAAGAAAAATCATTCCATACTTGGGGGCTACTTTTCACTTGGGGGCAGCTCTATGTTAAGGCTAGGGCCCAAGGTAGGCAGGCGTAGAGGAGTTAAGAACAACTAAGGGAGATGAACTTGTCTGTCAGTTTGTTGTCCTGTGGTGGCTTATGTCTTGCTGTAAGGCTGGAGCTTATGCCACCAGTGTTGCAAAAGACCAGCAGGGTTACCCATGGTGGACAGATTTCAGCAGAGCTTCTGGGCTAAGAAAGACATGGAAGAAGGAAGAGGCCATCCACTTCTTAAAGAATTGGACAGGGAAAACCTTATGTATAGCAATGAAACACTGTCTGATGTATTACTGGAAAACTTTATGAATAGCCCTGAAACACTGTCTGATATAGTGCCAGAAGATGAGCCCATCAGGTTGGAAGGCACTCAAAATTTGACTGGGGAAGAAATGACTCCTCAGAGTGGAGAGGACCTTAAGGATAGGGATAGAGTAAAGCTTTCAGGGCCTCCATTGGCTGATGTGGCACAACTCAAAATGAGTAGAAATAGATGTAAACATTGATTAATATACGAAGTATAAATCTAGAAAAATTGGAAGTTGTCAAAAATGAAACGGAACACATAAGGATCGATATCCTAGGCATTAGTGAACTGAAAATGGACTGGTTTTGGCCATTTTGAATCAGACAACCATATGATCTACAATGCCAGGATTGCCAAATTGAAGAGGAATGGTGTGGCATTCATCATCACAAAGACTGTTTCAAGATCTATCCTGAAGTACAATAGTGTCAGTGATAGGATAATATCCATACACCTACAAGGAAGACCAGTTAATACAAATCTATGCATCAACCACCAAGGCCAAAGATGATGAACTGAAAATTTCTACCAACTTCTCCAGTCTGAAATTGACTGAACATGCAAAAAATGTGTTGATTATCACTAGTGACTAGAATGCAAAAGTTGGAAACAAAGAAGAGTCACCAGTAGTTGAAAAATATGGCCTTGGTGACAGAAATAATGCTGGAGATTGCATGACAGAATTTTGCAAGACCATCTACTTCTTCATTGTAAATACCTTTCTCAACAACTTAAGAGACAGCTGTACACGTGGACATCAGCAGAAGCTGTCAAGGACTTCATATTATTTGCTTCTACAATCAACACCAATGGAAAAAGCAGTCAAGCCATCAGATGACGTACTGTATTGTGCAAATCTGCTGCAAAAGACATCTTTCAAGTGATGAAGAGCAAAGACGTCTCCTTGAAGACTAACGTGCACCTAACCCAAGCCATGGTATTTTCAAGCACCTCTTATGCATGTGAGAGCTGGACAATGAATAATGAAGACCGAAGAAGAATTGATGCTTTTGAGTTGTGGTGTTGGAGAAGAATGCTAAGAGTACCATGGTCTACTAAAAGGACTAACAAAGCTGTCCTGGAAGAGGTGCAGCCAGAATGCTCCTTGGAAGCAAGAATGGCCAGACTTCGTCTTACCTACTTTGGTCATGTTGTCAGAAGGAACCATTCCCTGGTGAAGGATATCATGCCTGGCAAAGTGGAGGGTCAACGAAGTAGGAGAAGGCCCTCAATGAGATGGCTTACACAGTGGCTGCAACGATGAGCTCAGGTATAGCAAGGATCATGAGGGTGGTATAGGACCGGGCAGTGTTTTGTTCTGCTGTACATAGGGTCGCTGTGAGTCAGAGATGACTTGACAGCACCTAACAGGCACTTGACTGCTAACCAGAAGGCTGGTAGTTCAAACCTACCAGCCACTCCTCGGAAGGAAGATGGGGTAATCTACTTCCATAGTGATACTGCCTCGGAAACCCAAGGAGGGGTTGCTATGAGTCGGGTCCAACTCGACAGCACATAACAACAACAACAATAACAATTACACCATATTTATTAAGCTAAGTATTTTACGTATATTGCCTCACAAAAACCTTGTGAACATTATCACTCACATAAAGCACGCTCAACACACTACGATGAGGTCTTTCCTTGGTACAAGTTTCAGCATAGTTATGTGCACTTTCTAGCCTGCTATTACTCTACTCCTTCCTTGCTACTTAAAAAAAAAAAAAAAAAAGACATTCAGGACTGCAACTGACAGGTCTTACCATACTATCTTAAGCTTATAGTTCTTCTTAAATATATCTCAGAATTATTTATGGATACATTATGACTGAGAATTACTGCAATTTTAATGTACCCATTTTATTTTCCTTGAAACAAATAAAATTAAACTGATAAATAAAAATAAAACCAAAGGAGTACCATGCATGCTAGCAGGAGCATTGTTGTTGTTGTTGTTTGCCATCGAGTCAGCCCCGACTCATAGCGACCCCTCCTTGGGTTTCCGAGGCAGTATCACTACGGAAGTAGGATTGCCCAACCTTCCTTCCGAGGAGTGGCTGGTGGGTTTGAACCGCCAGCCTTCTAGTGAGCAGTCAGGTGCCTTAGGCACTATGCTACCAGAGCTCCTAAATATTAGTATTCTATCTTTAATGTGTGTGTTTTTTATTCATTTCAATATTACAGAAATCATACTAATATTTGTATGATTTCTGTAATATTGAAATGAATAAAAAACACACACATTAAAGATAGAATATACAGGGCCAGCTTCTTGGGAATACAACTTGTGCAGCCACAAAGTACCCACCTCAAGTTTAGAAGGGACTGAATTTGTTATTTTGTAAGTGATGTCATGCTTACTATTGCTTCCCTGACTCAGGATGCGTTTCCAGCAGCCCATTTTTCATCTCCTGATACCTCAGCCCCTGGACATTGTTGCCCTCCATTTGGGGTGACCACTGGTTTTCTTAGGCATTGGAGTAGGGGAAGACCAGGGCCTGGGCAAAGGTGTAGTTGGTGGGGCAAGGGAAGGCAGTAGCTGCCTCAGCCTCAGGCTGTAAGCGTGCCAGGACACTTTTGGCAGGCAACTTGATGGGTGTCTCTTATAAACTCCTGATCTAGAAACTGAGTGCATTCCTAGTGTTAAGTTCCAATCTCTTGAAGGTTGCCCATTTGTCATGGGTTGGGGCAGCAGCCCTATGGGAAGAGGACATTTATTTCCCTGTCCTGTCGGGAGTCCTGCAAATTATGTAGTTGGCCCTGAGAATATAAAT